TTGAAAAAGGGGGGGGGGGAGATCATTATTTATGGGGGTTTTTTAGAGAAAACTGCTCCAGAAGGACCTCCTGGAGCTTTCATCATACGTCCCATGAGCAAAGCCATTATCCCAGTTAAGGCCGCAGCACGTCATGTTTGGATCTGATCCAAAAGCCTTTGTAAACTCAGAAAGCCCCCAGATCGCTTCCTGAGCCATGGGGTTGTCTGTGGAGGCCCTGATCCAAGGCCCCACGTTCGCCAAGCTGCAGTGGGCCCTCCGGAGATCGAATCCCAAACTGCACATTACTGTAACATCATCATCATCATTTTGGCCATTTGGGGTCATCTTTCATTTTTGCTCCTTTTGGTTCTCAGTACATTTTTGTTTCCAGGTTCATCATCTTCGAAAATGGGTTTATCTATCTATCTATCTATCTATCTATCTATCTATCTATCTGTCTGTCTGTCTGTCTGTCTGTCTCTGTCTGTCCGTCCGTCCGTCCATCGTATTTCTATAGCCGCCCATCTCACAAGATGGTCCCAGGCTGCCTGTTCTTTTAGCCTCTGCCAAAGCTCAGCGATGACTCCGGCTGCCTTGGGCTTGACATCCCTGCATTTCAGATTTTCTTGCACGTGTGTGTGTGTGTGTGTGTGTTCCCCCCCCCCAATTTGCTCCAGGGGACGAATACATCCTCCGAATAAAGAAGTGAATGTTTGCCCCATCCCGTGCCTTTTTTCGCAGGCCCTGTCCTGTAGCCGGTCCTCAGCCTGGGAGAGTAATCTCTTTGCTTGGTGCAAGCTCCACGAAGCCAAGTAAGTCACGGCGGGGCGGGTGGAGGGTGGAGGAGGATTTAGGAGAACGTTAATCCTAATCGCTGCCTCTCGAACAATTCATAGCATGCAGTACGGCTGGGAAGGCTTTCCCGCCGGTTTCAAAAAGGCTCTGCGAGGCAAACGTGGCGCCTGTCTGCAGTTCATTAAAGCAGCTGCATCTTTTCCCTGAGAGCTTCCCGCCACCCTCTGTGGCTGCCACGTGATCCCAGGGAAAAAACAGCGCGGTTTTAAAGAGTTGCCACCAGGCACTACTTTCCTGCCTTCCTATGCTCTGAAACGCCTTTTTTGGAAGCCACTTGGAAGCCACGCACAGCCCACTTCCCCGGCAAAGTCTGGCAGCTGGAGCAGGACACAAAGTGGTTTACTGCTTTAGAGCGGGGATGAAGAAGCGTGTTCGCCCCATGCCGTCCGCAAATATATCCCAGTTCTGGGGTGGGTGCCCTTGAGCCAAGCTTGATTTTTCACCCAAACATACAGTGCAGTTTTCTTAGCATTATGGAAATGGTTTGCCGTTATCTTTTCTGATTTCTTGGTGGTCTCCCATCCAAGTAGTAATCAAGCCAAGGGCTGCTTGCTGTTGCCATCTAGTGTGAGTTTAAAAAATGGCTCCCAGGAGTTGGTGAATTCCTGTGGGCAACGCAGACAAGCCCCATCTCATTTTCTGGGCAATGTATGGAGCTGGTTTGCTCCTCTACAGTATTCCTCCAGGGAGTTTCTGGACTTCTGGTCTAGCCCTGAGATTTCCTGGTGAGATTTCCTGGTGGTTTCCCATCCAATTACTAAACCTGCTTAGTTTCTGAGTCCAGTCAAGCTGTGCCAGATTTGCTGGTAGGTACAGAAGCTGTTCAGTAGGTGTGCAAGGATCTGACCACTTGCCTCTGTACGTGGTTTTATTTCTTTTATTAGATCGCTCGCCTGCCTTTGTTTTGCACAACTCGAGGCAAGGTCCGTTCCAAACGCTCCCGGCTCCTCTTTTCCCCACCACAACAGCCCTGAGAGGTGGGCTGGGCTGACAGAGAGGGGCTGGCCCCCGGTCACCCAGCCGGCTTCCCTGCCCAAGGGAGGAGCAGAACTCGCGCTCTCCCGTTTCCAACCCGGGCCTTCCCCGCGACCCCCGCCCGGCTTCTCCGCCCAGCGCAACCTCGGCGCAGGCGGATGCCCTCCGCTCC